TTTTAGCTTTTTATCTTACATAAATTTAAATTAATTTATTTTTGAAGTGAATTGGATTAGCATTCTCAGGGTTGTTTGGCTGGGACTTGATTTAACATTAAGCGGGATTATCAAATGCGACGAGCGACGGCAATCGACAACGAGCAAAGGCGATTGACGACGATCGACGGCGATTGAAGACAAGCCAGACCTCTCTTAGTTGGAGTTAATAAATAGTTTATTTAACGGAACACTATTAATATCCATGGAGCACAAAAATTACTAATCTAACGGAGCGTGGATTCAATTTCTATCTTTTATGTTTGGGATTTAGGTTAATCACCACTAAATCCGGTAAATAGTATGCTACCAAACAAGAGATAAACTTCTTTCTAGAATAAAATTCTTTAAGGAAGATTAAATAGGATTTAGTAAAACCGGTAAGTCTGGATTTACTAAATCTAAATATCATTAAATCCGAAATAATGTTTCATTCAATTAAGATTAAATCCACTTAAATTCATTTGAGGTGTCTGACATAAATCTATTTGAAATATTTTTTTCCTTCGCCAAATCCGCTAAATCTAACTAATAAGTAGATTTAGTAAATCCAGATTTAATTAACAGACCAATTAAAAATTGGATTTAACATAACCTCAAATTTATTTAACTTATTTATTGTGTTTGCTGGATTTAAGTTAGATTCCTGTTAAAAGGATGGTACCGCATGCATAACACTCCAAACCTTATCCGTTTTTTCAAAATTTCACTCAAATATTGAAAGAGGCATTTACAAAATGCCACCCAATTCCTACATATTTGCCTAACACCCAAACCACCCAAATCTTTCATATCACTTAACAATACCGCTATTTTAACACCTAAAAAGTGAAATACACCTTTTTCATGCATATATAGGGTGGCATATAGGTAAAAATTGAAGTTTAGAATTAAATGGTATATGCGTAAATCTTCCATATTAAAATTCGAGTGAAAAGAAAATGGCATAGATTTAATTTTTGGCTTTGTAGCAATATCCACAATGACTCAAATCTCCTGCTCTGTCTTTTCTGACTTTGCTGCTGTGGTTGCCGTTGGTAGCTAGTCTTTTGAGACAGAGCTTGACAGCATTCTTGGAAATCTGGGGGCTTTACTTTCCTTTCTTCCTCTCCTAAAAAGAAGAAAATAGAAACTTTATCCTGTTCCGAATCTTTTTACAGCTGATTTTTGACCGAGTGTTTTCTTCATCTCCTAAACCGATTAATTGCTCTCTTCTCATATCGCACAATTCTTATGTATTTTGATATCTGACTTCTAAACCTTCCATATTCACACACACACACTGATATATATATATCACATCCTAATACCATTAATATTTTCTTTTTAAAAGTGAAATGCACCTTTTCATGCATAGGTTTATGAGATGCATAAAAACATAAGAATTGTGTGGTATGTATGTAAGTTATTCTATTTTATTTTTGGGAGATTTATATATGCACATCGCATAGTTTTTATGTATTTACATAAGAATTGTGTGGTATGTATGTAAGTTATTCTATTTTGGGAGATTTATATATGCACATAGTTTTTATGTATTTACATCTCCTAAACTGCTGATATCACACCTAAAGTGTTTCTAATATTAACTTCTCTAACATGAAATGTATATATTTTTATACTGATGTTTTGATATGTTTGTGGCACTAGTATTTTTAACTTTTTCTATCAACTAATTAGCATTGTTTGATATTCATATTACTAGTTTGACTATTAAAATCAATGGTTCTGTGCTTATTTATCTGGTTAATTATTCTAGCGGACTTATTATGGGAGAAGAGCTGGAAACCAAGAGCCGGTCTCTTCCATGGAAGGTTCTAAATTGTCTCCTCGAGCTTCACTCTATGGAGCTGGTCTCACTCCATCTGAGCACTTCCGTCACATGCGAGGATATTATCACCAACCTCCAGTTGAACTTGAAGAGGTGGTAATCTCACCTCCATCCTTTATTTTTTTCACAGTGATTTATCTGTCTCCGTAAGCAAATGTTTGATTGTTGGAAGATTTACATACATACCACTCAATTCCTATGTATTGACATATCTGACACCTAACCTTCAATTTTTACATACATGCCACCTAACCTATGCATGAAAAGGTTCATTTCACCTTTTAAATGTTAATATCGAGGTATTTTTGATGTGATATGAAAGATTTGGGCAGAATTAATGTAAAAGGTAATGCATTGGTGTTAGAAATGTAAATACGTAGGAAGTGAGTGACATGTATGTAAATGCCTCCTGATTTTTTTTGGTACATTGCTTTTGAATGAATAAAAAACTTTCATGGTAAAAATTTTTTTTTCTATAGTTTGTGAAGATTTTGTACTTGCTAATGTTTAATTTGATTTGCTTAAGGCTAAGTTCTTTAATTTGTCAACACCTGTTCAATATTTTCTCTTCTACGATAGTAATGCATGTAGTCCTTATTTCATTATATTGGCAAAAAATTCCCTCCTAATGACCTCACAAATCGAAATTAATGTTCCCCTTTTTTTCTTTCTTTTCATCCTTCCATTCTCTGTCATGCAAAACCACTATTATAACTATATTTTAATGAAATTTGATACTTTTAACTATATTTATGTATGTTATACTTGTATTCTTATTCCGTTGTTAGATAAACAAACTTAATAATCATTGGTAGGTTTACTTCGGTATTTTGTAAATTGTTGGTCAATATGCTAAACTTGAATGTGAGTGTGTTCTTCGAGGTGTGTTTTGCTGAACAGGACTTTTAATACTTACAATTATTTTAAACAATTATTAACTGGCAAATGTAATATTTATATTTGATAAATATTGTACATTAGCGCAATAATACTTGTGTTGGAATATGGAGTAATGATGTAACCATGTCTTTCATGGGACTTGGTCAGCGTCTAAGTGATTAAGCTAGATTAAATAGCTGGTCACCATGGCTTCATGTGGTTGAGTGAGCTCTAATATTTTGATGAAGCTTTTATTTAAGTCGGGGATTTTGGGGGATCTTGGCTGATGTGAATACATTGGGGCAATTACATACATATCATGTGGGAGTATTATATTTGATGTCAGTTCAGAAAGTTGAAATATGAGAAATGTGTTGAAATAGTCTCTTTAGGGGGCTATTTTTGTCGCAGAGCCTATAAAACTGTTGATTTAGTCCCTAGACTCTTTTAATAGGGGCTAAAATAGTCCTCCATTGGGATTATTTTAGCCCATATGTAAGGATCCCGAGGATAAATTTGACATTTTTATAGACCCTGGGTCTAAAATGACCTCATGTACATAATTAGAGGACTATTTTAACACTTCTCTTCGAAATATCTTGATGTAGAAATACCAAGGGTCTAGCTTCTTGAGCTTTTTGGTTGAAAATGGATTTGATCATTGATCTATATGGCCTAAATTCAATTCCTTTTTGGTTCACACACTCTAACATAGGATGATCCTTTAATTTCTTAAAAAAAATAAACTCTGCGTTTTAGAACTAAAACAAACTCATATCAACCCAAGGCCTTTTCTTATTTTAATTGTTGCAATTGCCCTCCCTCTCTTGTTTCCCTTCATATTTGGACCCGTTTTATCCCCACTCCCATTCAAAACAAAGTAACAACTCTCTGAAAAATTTACTCCTATACTCTTTTCCCTCTCCTCTCTTCCTTCTCTTGCCCTCACTCCCTCCTTTATGGAAAGGTTGAAATCAAAACCTTGACCACAATGTCCTCTAATGGCTCCATACGATCGCCACGCTGCCATGATCTCCATAGTCTTCTCTACATCTAAGATCTATCTTTTGCCTCTGCTAATCAAAACCCTCTGTTGAATCCTCCCATCCGCTGATAATGACGAAAATGCCTTTGCTCTTGCTTTTCGACAAGATAATAAAATACATTTGCAGATGGGATTTTATTTATTTGTTCGCTATGAGAATTATTGTGGGCCAAACGTGTTTATTGTTCAAAAAAAAGAGTTCATTAAGAGTTGAAAGTGCCAGAAATGAGTTTATGCAAAAATTACACTATTGAATCTAGGTTGACTTCGATTGAGCTCAAACTTCTTTCAATCAGCTGTGTCAAACTAAATTAGCTCCAATTGCTTCTGAGTCCGGGTCCTAATTTTATCACATATCCATGACCACATTTTCATTTATTCTAATTTCATTTCGTTTTGGATTATTTCTCCATATTCGGAGTTTTGAATGACTAATCAAATTTGGGTTATTTCTTCATATTCGGAGTTTTGAATGGTTAATCAAAAAAGGTACTGCTAATTTGTTGTTGAACAATTTGCATTGTTGCATGTGGGAAGGTATACTGCTATGATGTTTCGATTGTTGAGTTGGTTTCTCATTGATCAATGATTCACAGAATGTATTATTGTTTCTATTTCTTATTTGCAACTTTAATTGGAAGCAGATCATGTTGTTGCACCATAGACTCTTGTTGCGAGGAGGGGACACTTATGATCGATATAGGGATTGGCGGCTTGATGTTGATGATATGACATACGAGGTATCCTACTGTTTTATTTCTCTACTACTGGCAAATCACAATATATCTATGAAGAAAAAATGAAGATTTACATACATACCTTTCAATTCCTATATATTTATATATCAGACACCTAAATTTCAATATTTACATGCATGGCACCTTACCAAGCATGAAAAGTGTATTTCACTTTGAAAAGTTAAAATGGTGGTATTTTTTATATAGATTTGTTTTTTAAATTTATTCCCAATTTGCAGGAATTGCTTGAACTGGGTGATAAGATTGGACATGTCAGCACTGGATTGAGAGAAGAAGAAATTGAATGCAGCATTAGAAAATTGAATCGCTCCATCTATGATAAACTCTTCTTATCCACTGACATGGAGAGAAAATGCAGCATTTGTCAAGTATGTTCACCCTTCTTTTCCAACCACATAATTTTTGTCAGGGGCATTTGCATTCATACCACCCAATTCCTATATATTTACATATCAGACTCCTGAACTTTATTTTTTATATTTATTCCACCCAATTCTTTCATATGACACAAAAAATCACCATTTTAATTTTCTAATAGTGAAATGCACCTTCTCATGCATAGGTAAGGTTATATATGTAAAAATTTAATTTTGGGTGCTAGATATGTAAATGCATATGAATTGAGTGGTGGTATGTATGTAAATCTTCCTTTTTGTTAAATATTATCCTCTATTTTTTCACAGGAGGAATATGAAGCGGAAGATGAAGTGGGAAAGCTGGGTTGCGGCCATAGCTATCATATACATTGCGTAAGAAAGTGGCTTCTTCAGAAGAATACGTGCCCAGTCTGCAAGACTGCTGTCAGTAAAACTTAATTTTGCATAAAAATTTAATGTTTTTTATAGAATTATCTGCGCACTGCTGCTAATTTATTCTGCTCTAT